GCGCTCCACCTGCCAGCTGGTGCAGGGAGGGCCTGAGGCCCAGGGCAGGCTGAGCATCTGGCAGGATTGGCCGAGTGCTCCTACTGGTCAGCCCCTCGCCCCGCTCCGTGTCCCCAACGCCAGGACCCGTTCAGCTCCTCCCCGATGGCCACTCCCTCACCCAAGCCCGGTGCCCTCTGCTGCCATCACAAGGTCTTCCATGGACTCCCCGCCTCCCACCGAGCTGGCCCCTCTCCCAGCCAGTCCTCTCCCCGGCTCCCTCCTGGGCCCGCAGCTCTAGCTCCTCACAGTCCTCACAGGCCAGAGCCTGCATCACCCCACCCGTCACACCCCGAGCCGAGCCCGCGGCATCTCCCTCCAGCCGGCCAGACCCTCCCCGCTGCCCCTCCTCCCTGGACCTGGGCCAGGCCTTCTCCCACCTTCCTCTGCCCAACCCTGTGTCCCAATGGCCCCGGCTTAGCCCTCAGCCACCCTGGGCCTTTACCCTCTCTCTGCCCCGCCCCCCCCATTTCTTATGAGCTCTGCTCAACCCCCGACTCCTTGGCTTTACAGCACCCGACGGCCAAGACCCCACTTCCATGGCCAGCCCTGGGGAGGCCCAGGAGGAGGAGGGGGAGCAGGAGGGAGGCTCTGCGGGGCCCTGGGCCGCCATGCTGGCACAGGCCCAGGAGCTGTTCCTGCTGTGTGACAAGGAGGCCAAGGGCTTCATCACCCGGCACGACCTGCAGGTGAGTCCCAGTCCCACGGGGCTGCCCAGCGGGGCTGGCCTTGGCCGCTCAGCCTGTGTCTGTCCGCCAGGGCCTGCAGAACGACCTGCTCCTCACGCCCGAGCAGCTCGAGGCCGTGTTCGAAAGCCTGGACCAGGCCCGCACCGGGTTCCTCACTGCCCGGGAGTTCTGCCTCGGCCTGGGTGAGCCCTTTCCTGACCCCACCCTGACCCCCACCCAGGGACCCTCCCCTGGTACATGTGGGGGCCCTGGGGGCCCGAGTCCCACACGCAGCTTGTGCCTGTCCAGTGTCTGCACACACAGGCAGTGCTGGAAGGCCCCACAGAAAGCCCCCCGCCCCCCCAACCCCC